GGATCTTGACCAGATAAGTGCAGGGGGCCAATTATAAAAAAAATTATATAATAATAAATAAAAATAAGATATTTATTTAAAATTGTGCCCTTCGTTCTTTTAAATGTTTGAACTCATCAATAATGGAATCAGAACTAAAGTTTTCAGTTATTTCTTTCTCAATATAAATGATCATATTATCTGCAAGAATTTCATCTTCCAGTCTATTTCGCAGTCTTGTTTTGATAATCTTCATTGCGAGAAAATGATCTCTCGGTTGTAGTTGTAGAAACGGGAAGAGTTAAAATAAGGCGAATTAAACGATCTATTAAGTAAAATGTACCGACTTACTGTTTTTGTCAAAGATTGACATAATTCAAGCATGGTAGACAAATTCTTCAAATCTGGATGGTTAGGAGCATCAAGTATAAAATGATGAAGTTGAAATTTTAAATTAATCTTCTCTTGTTCACTAAAATCCAAAGGATAAAATTTGTTCACAAGTGTGCATATATGATCAATGTTAAAATTTTTATAAACATCATTTGGAATTAAAGCATTGCTTAAAGTTAAAAGTTCCATTGTTTTCTCACTAAACCTATCATTTAATTCTTGTAATTGTTTATCCACTTGTAATAAAAAATATGTTCACCCTAAAATGATGTTCTACTTGTAATACAATCTTTTTGATGTCGAGAACGACCATGACGTGCTACATAGGTAGAATTAAAATTAGGAATATCAATGTCATGTTGTTCACAAAACAATATTACATCTTTCAACAAATCTTGTCAACCCTCTTCTCTTAATTTTTGAATCAAAATTTTAGTCGAATAGACTAAGCGCATAGCATTATGTATATCCTGAGATTGTTTACGTAAAGCTTGACAAAGACAATCGGTAATTCCCATAATTTCTTTCATCATGTGTAAAATCAATACAAACTCAAACTCGAGACAAAATATTATAAGCGACATCGACATCACCCCTTTGAGAATAAGTTGAACCATCAATTATAATTTTTTGGAGAACTAAACAAGATGCACTTATACAATTTCATCATACTACAAATGGAATGAAAATGTGAACTCCAACGAGTATCACCAACTCGTTTTAAAGTGCCAATTTGATTTTTTCCTTTACCAGTTTCAAGTTCACCAAGTTCTAACAATTTTGCTATTTCATCTAATTCTGCACTTTGTAATTCATCATGGCGTTTACTAGATGAACAAACAACATTTATAATAAAAGCCAAATTTGAAAAAATTGATGAAGCTGGAATAACTTCTCTTGAAGCGACAACCAAAGCAAGTTGTAATCTATGAGCAAAACAATGTACATAATAAGCATAAGGATTATCATGAAGAAATAATGCTTGTAATCCATTCCATTCTCCTCTCATATTACTAGCACCATCATATCCTTGCCCACGAATATTGGAAACATCAAGATTATGTCTAGAGAGAACAACACATAATTCTCTTTTAAGAGTAGCAGTTGTAGTATCCTTAACATGCACAATATCAAAAAAGCGCTCTTTAATATTACCCATTTTATCTACAAATCTCAAAACAATAGCCATTTGTTCTCTTCTAGATTCATCACGAGCTTCATCAACAATTATACAAAATTTTGAGTCACCAATTTCTTCACGAATATAATTTCTTACTTTTCTAGAAAAAATTTGCAAAATTTCCTTTTGAATATGATGAGAAGTATATTTTGAATTATAAGGAGCATTTTCTAACACAACTTGTGCTACTTTATCATTGTATGATGCTAAAAGTTTAATCATCTCAAGAAAGTTACCTCTATTACTTGAATCTGGAGTTTCATCATGGCCTCTAAATGCACAAGCTTGAAATGCTAACCAACGAATTGTATCAATAGAAGTTTTAAGCCGTAAGCGATTTTTGCAAACTTCTTCTGAATTTTGCACATTTATAATGTTGTCAATGTGCTTAGATTGATTCAATAAGTCTGTACATGCTTTTATTGCATTGTTATGTGGTGAACAAGGACTATCTCCAATATGACTAAGAAACGCACAATTCTTTCATGAATTAACCTTTTTCCATGATCTAAATCCTTGTCTAATAAACACATCTGCCCAGGACGACCATTTGACGAGTGTACTAAATAGATAACATGACAAACAATAAGCTCCATCACTAGTTGGAGAATACTCTAACCAAGAAGGAAACATTTTAAACCAACTATATTGAAATCTCCTAGGATGTTTCTCTTTAGAAAAATGATAGTTTTTAAGTTGTATTTGATATGGACCCCAATTTAAATAAGCTCTTCTAATTTCATCTCTTTGATTCATATGATATTCATGTATTTGAAGACATTTTCCTGAGTCACGCTCCAAAGAATTAATATTAAATTCATTGTTTTTAATTCTATGAATCTTAGAAAGGGGTTCTTCTAATTGAATAATTGGATCATCAATATCATGCTTTGAAATATGAGAAGATGTTGAATTTGTTTGATTTTCATCTCTACAAGTATCTCTTTTATCACTTTTAAAAAATGAATCTATTCTTTTATGCTTCATATCTAGAGAAAAATGAATCTATTATTAATTTTCTAATTGTAGAATCATAAAAATTTATAAAAAACAAAAATAGTTTTCTCAAACAACAAATGTTCTTCAACAAAAATCAAAATAACAAACAATAATAGAATAAGCAGTGAAAAGATGAAGAAAAAGTACCTTTATCAATCAATATAATTTCAAGTATGGAATCAGAGGAGGGAGGAAGAGAGACAAACAATGAATTTGAAAGTACAAACTACGAAATAACTTAATATTAATCAATCAATATTACCGTTTGTGAGTGAATATGAAAAGGTGAGAGAAGATGAAGAACTACTTTTAACCTTTCTTATTTAATATATTCTTTAGAAATTAGAGAAACAATTAAATACTAATAAAATATTACCATTAATGAGAGAGTATGAAAAAGTGAGAGAAGATAAAAAGGTCGGATAATAAAATTATTTTTAATCTTTCTTATTTAATTTATTCCTTCGAGTTTTTTCTTTATGATATATTTAATATTGGGGGAGCCAAAATCATAAATATACAACTAAGTTACAAAACTTTGGGGGGCCATGACCCCCTTAATTACTATGAAGATCTCGCCACCTGGTTGCAGGCATGGATGTGGGGCAGGCTGATGAGGTCAATGACTTCTAAGTGGCATTCAGAAAATCTTAAAAGTAAGTAATGCAAATTACAATGGAAATAATCATGTGATCTTCTTTTTTCTAGTCATAGTCAAAAGAAAAAAAAAACTTGTCTAACAATGATTCAACTTTTGCTAAATATATTTAAAAATAATATAATTGTAAATTTATTAAATACCACTTAATTAAATTCCATATTTAATTGATTAAAATTGGTCAAACCCAAATCATCTTGACCACACCTCAATTAATTGTTGATACTATTTTAATTTTTTATTTTACTACATTAATATAGATATAATTACCCTATGGGTAATGATGAATAAATATTAAATATATTCCTTTAAATACTTTTAATTGCTCAAACAAATATATATTGTATATATGTTTTCGTTTCTTTAATAATATTATAGCATTTTGCTAGATTTTTTATTAATATTAAGTCTCATCAATCTCATAACATATATTACAAGGTTGTTGTTAGAAAAGTAACAGTACTATTCGTCAAACTAATTTTTTTGTTAACAACAAATATCTTCTGTTCCTCTAAATCGACAATTGTAGCTACCCTTAACAGGTTAAGAACACTGCCACATTCTAATCAAGGAAAAGTTAAAACAAGAAAACAGAAAATAATGTTTCATGTTATAATCTCGTTTCAATACTCTTTCTCACAAAACATTATGCAAAAAGGATTCACCATTCCCAACTTCAAAGTTGGGAACGGTTGTTAGAATCTGATTTTTTGTTTTTTTGTTTTGTTTTTGGTTTCTCATCTGAATCTCAAAGAAACATTTATTTATATATTACGTACTTTCCACCTTCACAAATAACCATCAAGAAAATGACAAAACGATCCTTAACCACAGAGATGGAATGCAACGTGAGGCAAATGCTGAAGCTGATTGAAGATGATGGAGACTCATTTGCCCAAAAGGCTGAAATGTATTACAAGAAGAGACCAGAGTTAATTTCTCTTGTTGAAGAGTTCTACCGTGGCTACAAATCTTTAGTTGAACGTTTTGATCACAACACCTCCTTGTGTGATCTTCAATCACAAGCTTCTGGTGTTTCAAATTGTGGTTCGGAAACACCTTCTTCTATGCCTTCTCCTCGCCTAGGAAGATGGGCCATTGCACTGATGGTATAAAAAAAAAAGGCCAAAAAACAAATATAACAACTTGACAAAGAGTAATAATGCAGCGGAAATTCAATCCCCCTTCTTGCGAGAATCAGCGAGGAGCACCAAACAAATAGAATCAAAAGCACAAAGAGACACCAACAATTTTAACGTGGAAAACCCCTCAATGCAAGGGTAAAAACCACGAGTCGTCCAGACCAAAGAAAAATCCACTATGATCAATAATGGGGTACACAAGAGTCTCCAATAATAATACCAAAAGGTATTTTCAATAAGCAGAATTAACTAAGCACAAATGCTTACAAAAGAGAAACAAAGAAGATGAAAAATCTCCAAAACAGGGCTGCTGGTGCGGGACCAATTTCTCCCAATCTAGACCTTCGATTGACGATCCGAACGGTCAGAATGAAGAACCATATGTCTGGAACCTACTATCCAAAAATCAGCTCGATCCAACGGTGAACGACTTCACAGCGACGAAAACACCAGTGCAGATTTAGGGTTATGCGGAGATGACTTTCTCTCTTTCTTTTCTCTCACTAGACTTTTTGTCTTTTTTCAAATGACTCTCTTGTCCTCTACTAATCGACCCATCTCATTTTACCCAAATGAGACATAATGGACCACACTATTTGGGCCTATTCTCCACATAGGAAGGGAGCCCAATAACCCAACAAATCTCCCCTCACGACTATGTGGAGATATCCGCCAAGCCAGCGATCTCACAACAAACTTCAAACTTTCCTCTTGGCAATGCCTTGGTCATCATATCAGCACCATTATCATCTGTATGAACTTTAGCTAGTTCCACCAACTTAGCATCCAAAACATCACGTATCCAATGATACCTCACATCAATATGTTTGGATTTAGAATGAAAAGTTGGATTCTTACCAAGATGAATAGTACTTTGACTGTCACAATACAACAAGTATTTATCTTGCACAAAACCAAGCTCCTGCAAGAATTTCTTCACCCATAACAACTCTTTGCATGCTTCAGTAAGTGCAATGAATTCTGCCTCGATAGTAGACAACGCCACACACTTTTGCAACTTTGATTGCCAAGCCAAAGCTCCCCTGCAAACCGAATCAAATAGCACGAAGTGGACTTTCCGGAATCAATGTCTCCAGCCATATCCGAATCTGAGTAACCCACCAAAGTAGGCTTATCACCTCCAAAACAAAGTCTCAAACCTCTAGTACCACGAAGATACCTCAAAATCCATTTCACGACATTCCAATGCTCTCTACCTGGATTTGACGAAATCGCTAACTGTACCAACAGCGTGTGCAATATCGGGCCTTGTACATACCATTGCATACATCAAACTACCCACCGCGAAGCATAAGGAACTTTTCTCATAGCTATCTTCTCAACTTCATTTGAAGGACTTTGTTTAACACTCAACTTAAAATGAGTAGCAAGAGGAGTACTTACAACCTTAGCATTCTCCATTTGGAATCTTTGCAACACCTTCGAATGTAGTGCTCCTGTGATAGCCAAAGTTTCTTCTCTTTTCTATCACGAGTGATACTTATACCAAGAATCTTCTTAGCAGCTCCCATGTCTTTCATGGCAAATGACTTGCCCAGTTGCTTCTTCAACTCTGTCAATTTTGGAAACATCTTTTCCAACAATAAGCATGTCATCAACATATAACAACAGGATAATGAAATCATTCTCGGAAAATTTCCTGACAAAAACACAATGGTCGAAGTAGTCTTCTTGTAGCCTTGCTCACACATAACGAGACTCAAACTTCTTATACCACTCGCCTTGGAGCTTGCTTCAAACCATATAGGCTTTTTCGTAGCCTACACACATAGTCTTCCTTGCCTTCAACAAGAAAACCATCCGGTTGCTTCATGTAAATCTCTTCCTCCAAATCACCATGAAGGAAGGTCTGTCTTCACATCCATCTGCTCAACTTCCAAATCAAGAGTAGCGACTAAACTTAACACGAGTTCGGATAGATGTCATCCTCACCACAGGTGAGAAAATCTCATTGAAGTCAACACCCTTTCTTTGTCTAAAGCCTTTCACCACTAATCTGGCTTTATATCCGGTAGATGTAGAATTGCTCTCTTGCTTCACCCCGAAGATCCACCTGTTCTCTAAGGCTCTCTTACCCTTAGGCAACTTCACCAAGTCATAAGTGTGATTATCATGCAGCGATTTCATCTCATCCTGCATTGCATCCAACCACTTTTGCTTTTCTTCACTTTCAACGGCCTCCTCATAACATTCGGGTTCTCCTTCATCGATCAACATCACATACTCATTGGTAGAGTACTTCTTAGAAGGTTGTCTTGGCCTGTCGGATCTTCTAGGTTGAGTTTCGGTAGCTCAGGTATATCACCAAGACTCTCATCATGTGATACATCATGTTCCTCTTCATCAACATTATCAATAGGAACATCCAAGCTATCTTCAACCTGTTGATTATCAGTATCACCATGTTGTTCATCATCATGAGCATCAATATCCAAATCATTAATAGACAACCGAATTGGATCAACATCATCCACATTACCATTTCCTTTAGGTGTAGACTTCTTCTCCTTATCAATATCTTCAATGGTTTGATCTTCCATGAATTGCACATCACGACTTCTAACAACTTTCTTTTCAACGGGGTCATACAACTTGTAGCCAAATTCATCCCGACCAAAACCAATAAAGATGCATTGCCTTGTCTTCATATCCAACTTGGATCTTTCATCCTTCGAACATGAACAAATGCTTTACAACCGAAGACACGTAAATGATCATAAGTAACATTCTTGCCAAACCAAATCTTGTCCGGCACCTCGAGTTCAAAGCAACTGCAGGACTTAGATTAATAACATGCACTGCTCGTAAACAATGCCTCACCCAGAAATGCTTAGGCAATTTTGCTTCAGAAAGCATACACCTAACTCTTTCAATCAATGTCCTGTTCATCCTCTCCGCTAAACCATTCAGCTGAGGAGTTTTAGGAGGAGTCTTCTCATGTGCAATACCATATTGTCTACAATAAGCATCAAATGGTCCACAATACTCACCACCATTGTCAGTACGAATGCGTTTCAGCTTCTTGCCTGACTGCCTCTCAACCAAAACATGGAATTCTTTAAACTTGTCCAACACTTGGTCCTTTCTCTGTAGTACATAAACCCAAAGCTTCCTGGAACAATCATCAATAAAGGTAACAAAGTAAAGTGCACCACTAAAAGACTTTACCTTCAATGGGCCACAAACATCAGAATGCACCAATTCAAGCAACTCTGACTTCCTGGAGGGAGGATGCTTCTTGAAGGATACTCCGGTTTGTTTACCAGCCATGCAATGAGAACATTTCTCCAAATCTACATTCTTCAATCTTGAGAGAACATCCTTTTTAAATAAGCAGTTAAGCCCCTTTTCACTGATGTGCCCAAGCCTTCTGTGCCACAAAGATGACTCCATATACACGGAATTCACACTATCTTTAGCAACCAAAGCTTTTGTCCAGTAAAGCTTAGAGTTTTTCTCCCCTTTAGCCACAATCAAGTTACCTTTGGTGAGCTTCCACTTTCCAGAACCAAAATGGTTATAATATCCACCATCATCAAGTACCTGCACGAGATCAAGTTAAAGCGAACATCTGGAGCATGTTTAACTCCTCTAAGCAACAAGCTGCATCCCCATGTTGGTTTGCAAGTGAACATCACCAACACCAACAACTTTAGACACCCCATCATTACCCATCTTCAATACTCCAAAATCACCAGGTGTATAAGATGTGAAGAACTCCTTCCTGGATGTAACATGCAGTGTAGCACCACTATCAATTATCCACATGCTCTCATCGGATACAAGACTAATAGTGTCATAATCACGAAGACAAACAAGGTCACCACATGTAGTAGTAGTAACACGATCACCATCATCATTATCTTTTTCTCTTTGCTTACCCTTTTTGTCTTTGCTCTCTTTCTTCCACAAAAACAGTTTTTCTTTATATGTCCTGTTTTGTGACAATAGTGACACTCCACATTCTTGTACCGAGACTTGGACTTGCTCCTGCTTTTATCTCTACCACTTGTTTTGTTCTTTCTTTTGGTTTCTCCCCTATTCTCTCGTAATAAGCACTTCGAATGAGATGAAGTACCCTGTGTCTTCCTTCTCATCTCCTCATTAAGAGCACCACTCTTTGCCATTTGCAAAGAAATATCACCATTAGGGGTAGCACTTATCATGGAAACCCGAAATGTCTCCCACGAATCCGGTAAAGAGTTTAATAGGAATAAGCCCAATAGATCATCATCAAATTTTATACCCACTCCAGCTAATTGATCATAGCGTCCTTGAAATTCACTCAAGTGATTTGAAACATGAGTTCCTTCCTTGTACTTCAACTCCACAAAATTTTTCAGCAAGTACAATTTATTAGTCCCTGACTTAGAAGCATACAAGGACTCAAGCTTATCCCATAGGCTTCTCGCATGTGTCTCATTAGCAACAAAATTATAAACATTATCATCAACAAACTGCCTGATAAATCCACATACCTGTTGATGTTCAAAATCCCATTCTTCATCTGACTTGGATTCTGGCTTATTGGAAGCAAAAACAGGAAGATGCAAATTTTTCACAAATAACAAATCCTTCATCTTGCCTTTCCATAAGTGATAATTTTCTCCATTCAACGGAATCAATTTTGTATGTGCCTCCATCATTCACGCAAATTAAACAGTCCCTTAACCTAAGAGCTCTGATACCACTCTGATGGTATAAAAAAAAGGCCAAAAAACAAATATAACAACTTGACAAAGAGTAATAATGCAGCGGAAATTCAATCCCCCTTCTTGCGAGAATCAGCGAGGAGCACCAAACAAATAGAATCCAAAGCACAAAGAGACACCAACAATTTTAACGTGGAAAACCCCTCAATGCAAGGGTAAAAACCACGAGTCGTCCAGACCAAAGAAAAATCCACTATGATCAATAATGGGGTACACAAGAGTCTCCAATAATAATACCAAAAGGTATTTTCAATAAGCAGAATTAACTAAGCACAAATGCTTACAAAAGAGAAACAAAGAAGATGAAAAATCTCCAAAACAGGGCTGCTGGTGCGGGACCAATTTCTCCCAATCTAGACCTTCGATTGACGATCCGAACGGTCAGAATGAAGAACCATATGTCTGGAACCTACTATCCAAAAATCAGCTCGATCCAACGGTGAACGACTTCACAGCGACGAAAACACCAGTGCAGATTTAGGGTTATGCGGAGATGACTTTCTCTCTCTTTTTCTCTCACTAGACTTTTTGTCTTTTTCAAATGACTCTCTTTGTCCTCTACTAATCTGACCCATCTCATTTTACCCAAATGAGACATAATGGATCACACTATTTGGGCCTATTCTCCACATAGGAAGGGAGCCCAATAACCCAACACATTGCATATCCACCAACCATGCCGCAGGGTTCGATGTCTTTCTTGGCTCTGGTGGAAACGTCGATGCATGTCAAAAGGATGGAGATGGTTCCTCTACTTTGACAGAATCTGATGAGGATTTTTATGACGATAGTTCATCTACGAACAATTTTTTAGGCTTTTTTGGGAATGGAAATGAACATAATAGTATCAAGAGAAGGGTGATGGAATTGGAGATTGAGATACCACCTGAGGGGAAAGAGAAGATGAGAAACATTTTGCATGAGGAGGAACAAGGGAAGAATGTTGAAGATTTTCGTGCAAAGATCAGTGCATATGAACAGGAACTAAGGAATGTGAATGAGAAGTTGAGGCTTTCAGAAGGAGAGATTAGTAAGCTAAATATTAAACTTGAAACATACAGGTCAAAGGAATCAACGATTTTGAAAGGTGGTGTTGAAGGGGCAGGGATGGGAGAGGAATCCTTGGAGTTGAAGAAACTGGGGGAGGAGCTAAGGTTGACCAATGAAAAACTACAGTCTTCAGAAATGCAAATTGTTTCTTTGAAATTTGGGGCTACTAAAACATTTGAAACTATTCAGCAATTGCAGGGACAACTTGAATTGGCTCAGAAGGAGATTGATTCTTGGAAAGTAAAGTTCAACTCTCAGAAAAGAGAGAACTCTAAACTCCAAGAAAGGCATGCAAGGATGAGAACTAGTGTAGCTGACCGGGAAAATGAGCTCAGGGATTTAAAAGCTCGTATATCTGAGGTAGAACAGAAAATGTTCTTTGAGAGATCAAATTTGAAGTCTGAAATAAGCAAGTTGTTAAGAGAACAGACTCTTTTAGAGAAGAAGATTAATGAATGGGAATGTCAATGTCAATCTTTGCAAGAGAAGATAAAAAAAATCCACTTTGAAAAAAAAGAGATGGGAGAGACCCTCAAAGGAGACATGCTGTTAAAGATAGACGTTGAGGACAGAAAGAAGCATAAAAAATATGTTAATGTAAGTCTTGAGGCTTTGAAATTAGAGAGAGATAACCTCAATGCAGAAGTTGGCTCTCTTAGGAAAGTAATACATTCAAGAGATAATGAGATTGAAGATGCTCATAAACAATTGGAGGAACTAACAAGAAGAGATAAGAAACTGGAGGAAGAGATCGAGAGGCAGAGGGTTGAGATCTTAGAAAGAGCTCAAGAGAAACGCGAGGCCATAAGGCAGTTATGCTTCTCACTTGATCATTACAGAAATTGGTATGACATACTTCAGCAGAATTTCAGAGGAAACAAGGATTCCTGTTTCTGCCACCTGATATGTCAAGATGGTTGCCTCCCTTTCATGTGAACTTGTATAATACCACATTTCCTTCCCGTTGTCTATTTATTTTATCCCTCTTTATTTTGTGTCAGTGATTTATTTCTTATACTTTGTGGTGTGTAATGTATATCACCCAAGGTCATGAGAAGGTAGAACTTAGAAGTCGTAGACTAGACATGTTTCATGGTTTGTGATAATTTGGCTTTTTTGCACATGTTACAAAGCACTGCAGGACCATCTCTTCTTGAGGAGGCCCGTTAGAAGATACTCAGAAACTATTTAGGTTTGTATTCCCCCCATCTTTCCGTAGAGTTAGAAGTTGGATGTGTTACATAGAATGAGAATTTATGTCGTGCGTTCGGTTTAAAATAATATATGATCGATCTATTAGCGTAAGAGTTGTTATTCTTGCATTTTTTATGATGTGTTTTACAACTTTAATTTCTTTTTACCTCTCTACTATCTTACTTATCTTAAACGATAACAAACTTTCTATCATCTTATTGCCAACTTCACCTTACTAAAACACAATTCAATGCGAGATATGTTATGGTCTTGCATTCAAAGAGTTTATATAGAATTAACCCATTACTAGAATCAAAGAAAGACTATAATACAAAATGTATAATATTAAATTCTTACAAATGTTATTTTCTGTAAACATTTTATGCATGGAAAAAAATAAAATGCACCTCCGAGAACCAACTACTAGGCATTCGCGTCTTGATGTTGAGAGATATGAACAGGCACCTAGATTCATGGACCGTCATATGCAGTCAAAAAGAGGTACATATTCCCGAATGTGCTCTAAATGGAATAGAATAGAGCAATATTTCTAATCTCATTTGATGAGGTGGTTCTAATTTATTCCATTGGAAAATCACTACTTTGTGAAAATTGCTTCATTAATGTCGAGCACACCATTACCATATTTTAATTAATTCAAGCATTTGAATCCTTTTAATTATTAAGTCGAGGAAAGGTTGCGTGCAGACCTCATTGAGTGACACGATCAACCGATCAACATGCGCCAAACGTATTTGTCAAGATAAATTTCGCTCATAGTCTATGAAAGCTCAAAGTGCTAAACAGAAACATAGTTGCAAAATGCAACAAGCTGGATATATACATTTCATGATGATGAAATATCTATGCGAATAGAGGAATGTTTTTTGATGAAAAACAAATTAAAAAAAAATTGCATATTTCTACCATTACATAAGATGCACTACCTATGTGACAACTCTACAAAGCACCTAGGCTTCTAGCAAGCTACTTGTTACAAGTGTGTTAGCTACCTACCACAACGAGGTGAAAAAAAAAATGTAGCGTAAACTTAAAAACTTAACTAGAAACATCTCCATCTTCGTCGTCTTTGAAGCAATAAACCTATAAATGCACTCGGTCTAAAGAGCATATCATATCAATAGTGCACCAACACTACAAAACACAAATATGCACAAGAAAATCATTAGATAGGGTGATGGGAAAAACAATTGTAGCAAAACCAAACAGACCATTGAGAAGATGGAAATGAACTATGCCCCAAAATAATAAATAAATGTCATTACCAACCTTAAGGACTTTATCAGTTGAAGTCAATCAAATATGAGAACCACCAAACACCTCATTAATCATCCCAGGCACTATCTGCTGCACCCTCTCTTTTAGTGTTTGTAGAAGTAATCATGAATTTATATTTATCTTCGATGTTAATTGAAGCAGCTCCCAATCCTAGCTGTTTGGATAAATCAATATTTGCCTCTTTTTGTGCTGCTGCTTCTTTCTCCTTCCTTCTAGCAACCTACAAGTCAAGGGCACAAAGTCAACTAACATACAAGGTTAAATATAATATATTTAAAATGATTGTTTTTTGGGAGAAATTGAGCATATTTGACTGTCAAACCCAAACCTCCGACACAAATGCATATACTAATTAATCAAAGTAAAAAAATCAATATACATGTAAAACAGTCTAGCACAAGCCCAGTCGTCTAGCACAAGCCCACCTCAGTAAAACTACTAACACCATAAGAGTTCTAATACACTAATCTATTTAGTGTATCTTCAATATGAGTAAAATCTTAGTTCTTTAATTTTTACTCTAAATCCTCATTTTTAATGATGTGCCCACAGACCACAAGAATCTTAAAATTATGGCAAAATAATATAGCACCTTTCCAGTTGCAAATGTCAATGTGTTCCCAGATTCTGCGTCAGCTATTGCCTTCCTTATATTTGCCACAAGAAACTAAAGAGCATAACCATATTAGTATTAAAATCTTTGGAAATAAATAGTTCACTTTTTTTTTTCTAAGAAAAAAGAGGTAGCCAGCACCATGTCACGATCAGTGTAAAACGAAGTAGCTAAGCCAGTTGATCCCGCACGCCCTGTCCTTCCAATCCGGTGTACATAATCTTCCATGGTCTATAATTGAGGAAACCATAACTGAAGCGTCAGGTATGTATTTGTAAAGGAAATTAAATTTGACTGAAGAATACCAGGTAAATGAATACCAACATAACAATAGTAGAACGACAATCCACCAACAGTGGTAAATATACTTGTATCCTTTTTGATAATCTGTTCTTAGTAGGGATTACAGATAAAATTCAGTCATCAATTAATTAGTTTTTGCTTGAAGTAGAAATACCTTAGGAAGATCTAGATTGATGACATGAGACACTCCAGTGACATCCAAGCCACGAGATGCAACATCAGTGGCAACCTGAATCTTACGTATGGTTAGTAGATAAAAAATACCTAACTTTTTTAATCGTAATTATGCAAAAATTGCCAAGACTTCAATATTTTAAAAAGAACTACCCAATAGTATACCTTTTTGGATTGACTACATTAAACAACAATTAAATATTTTTTAATCATAAACATAACAACTTTGGCCTTAGCATTTTCTTCTTTCTTCTTTTGATACAACAAGAAATTTCATTTAGTAAACAAGGATTAAAAAGAGCCAAAGATAGTTTCACTATATTTGGATAAGCCACTGTAGGCTATTTTCAACAGTATTTTCATTACTACTAATATCCATCTAGAATCATTAGTTGCAAATGAATCATGATAAAATATTGTCGAGAATATCAGATTTTATAGTGTAAGGAAAATTATAAATTGGAAAAGTAATGTAATATAAAATTTTTAGAAATGTGTCATGTAGGAAGATTACCAAAATGTTGGTAGAGCCACTCCGAAAATCATGCAAGGCAGACTCTCTTTCACTCTGACTACGACCACCATGAAGAGAAACTGCAGATAATCCTTGAGCTATCAATGCTTTAGCAACTTCATCGCACCTTGTCTATAAACACATTAAAAAACAAATAGTAAGAAACAAGGAGATATCAATTTCCAAACAATCTACTCAGATTTTTCAGACTTAAAAATCAAAAATTCATGGCTGAACCTCTACCAAAATTATCCATGATTTCCAATCTATAACGAAAAAAAAAGATGTAAAAATATAAACAAATATTAACATAATTCAACCATTTAATGTTATTCTTTATATCATGCTCCAAAAAGGGACATTTTAGGGAAATAGTTTATATTTAAAATAAGATTGATAAAATTAAATTATGTTGACTAACTTTCTTAATTAGCATTAATGTTTTTTTCATATATTTGAGTATGAAGGAAGTACATAATTATAACAAATATAATTCCGAGAATGTATGTAACAAATTTGGCACATAGATCAAATTAACAAATATCATTTTCCTTTTAGTAAAATTCGAAAAGTCAACAGTCCTAGCTTGATCTTTACTCAAGTTTGCGATGCATTATTACAATATGCAAGAGAAGAGAACAAAGAATTTGGTTAAAGAAGGGACACAAGACAAATCATACCTTTCTCTCAACAAATACAATTGTTAATAGAAATGGATGACCACATTTTTCAGCCTGAGATGCATCCTCTACAAGTAAATCTAAAAGTCGATCAATCTACAAGAACATGGTAAGATTTCAGAGCAGAAGCCAAAAGAAAGAGAAAATAAGGATAAAAAGACCGAGGAACAGGGTCATGCACATAACATCTCATTCTCCCAATACTTCTTTACTTTTATGCACATGTGTACCTTGTGGCAAATATTTAGAACTTTCATGCAACAACTTTAGTAAAATACAATCCCCTTCCAGAAACATAGAATGAAACAGAACCTAGAAACATTAAAAACTGTACCTTCTCATTTTCAAAAATTTTCACAAGAGTTTGTGAAACATTAGTTGTTGGGCTACTCACTTTCCCCACCTTCACTTGCACTGGACTAGCTAAGTACTCCTGAAAGTTAACAAATGATTAGTAAACTCCAAAAATATTCCTTCAATAACTGAGCATATAAAGAAGTACATTTCTAAAATATAATTTTCTTCAAAAGGATGTATTTTGGGGATATATTTAAATTTAGGGAAGAAAATCTTGGAAGAAAAAGATAAAATAAAAATCCTAAAAATAATACTTATACATCAATAACTACTTATCTAAAATCCAATGTGCTACATCTTATGATTATGTAGCAAGACGTCTTACAAAATGATTTGTGAAAAACAAATGAATGATAAAATTACTATTTGTCAAAGCATTAGCACAAAATAAGTTATTTTAAAATATCATAATATCACACTTCATTATTTTAGTATTATTTAAAGACAAAAATAATAATGTTGAAATAATTCTGTCAAAAATGAAGGAAACCTTACCTTTGCTAATGCTTCAATCTCCACGGGCATTGTAGCACTAAAAAGCAGTGTTTGATGCTTCTCAGGAAGATTTCTCATTACCTGCAGATAAATTTAGAATATTCATAATTTCTTGTGTAATCGAGGAAGACAACTATTAATTTAACATAAAAATGTAATATGAGGTTATTTATTATTGATAACCCATTCAAATGAGATCATAATATATGCAATAATAACATACACAAATTTCAAGCATGGTCATAACCGCTAGATCATGAAAATCAAACTAAGATACAGATACAATAAAAATTGTGGAAGCCTAAAT